GGCAGGACGAAAGGTTAAGCGAGAAGAAACAGTTTGAGAAACACTTTGATAAGCAAAGATTAATACAGTTATCTTTGTAACTGTTATACCATAATACCTATTCTATTGTAATAGACTCTCCCACAGATAATAAGTAGTAGTAGCATGGCCAGTTGGGCTCAGTGGTGTTGAGTGAGTCTGTCGGACATTGAAGTATCAACTATCACAACTAGATTGCTGCGTCATTAACTCTTATTTCAAGTTCCTAACGTTTTGTACGTCGAACCTAATTTAGGACGACTTATTGAAATACAAGCCTCCACTGTGAAAACTACTCTACAACAGTAATTAACAAAAACACGTGAATTTAACAACGTATCAATCGATATATTGCTAAAAGAATGCGTTTTTTTTTGTGCATATCCAGATGTGTGTGAATACACTGGGGAACACATTTCAATATTTTGTCTACTGAATTACAGTTGGCAGTGAGTTCTATGTCATTTGGGTGTGCTGAGCACGAATTGCTATTCTGTTTTGCTCTATCAGATCCTGATTTTGCTCAATGCCTGCCCTCTTTTGTCAGATTCATAAAAAGGTTTTCTTTTCAATACTCACTAAGTCTTCACAGTCACACATTATGCAACTAGGTTTTTATCTAGGTATTTGTACCTATTGTTATGGTATTGTTGTATTATGTATACCAGGGGTCGGCAACTCATTCGACCCCGCGGGCCGGATCGTGTTATAATGACGGGTCGCGGTCCGGACGAAGGCCATTAATGAAAAATTAAGGAAAATTACATATGCAGACCCCCTGTCAACCTAAATATTTAAAACCATAATGAAAATAAACATTGAGAAATCAGAAAAAACAAAAGAAAATCTAAAATTAAAAAACACCCAACAAAAATTACTTTTCCTCAAGGAACGTCAAAATACTTCAAAGTGAAAAAAATCAACCGAAGTGAAATAAATGAAATTATGACGTGTAGGTTTGAAACTGTTATTGAAAATTGTTCCACAAACGAACCACACACACACACATCAAACAAAAACGAAGCACATATACCCATACATACGAGTACAAATAGTTGCTAACATATACACTTACGTACGTACACATGCGGTATCATCCACACATTCATGAGGCATGTATGTATAATGCGCGTATGTTTAACTGTCTTTAGATTTCTGCTACCTCACATGTCAGTCCCTCCCTGGCCTCTTTCACTTTATCGTTCCTTTCGCTTCTGTTATCTTTTAATGTAGCCAAGAGTCATAACAAATATGTATCCATTATTTGACATTAAACGTAGGCAACGCAACTGGCAGGTAGTCTAATATTTTTAGTGCACTGAGATGTGTAGACATTTTATGGAAAATGGCATATAACAAATTTCATTTGAAGGTCGACGATATAGTTAAATTGAGAAGTGTTGACAGATCTCATGTTAAAAATAGTCATTGATAATCAAGCTCGCGGGCCGGTCAAAATGCCGACCCTTGATGTATACTTTTATATACAACACCCTAAAATATTTTTAATTTTGTCATTTTAAACCCGTTCTAATATCAGTAAATTAAACTAAAAATATAGAATTCTATAATTTTCTCGAGCGTTCCTGTTTTCTGTAGAATATTCTAGAGGGACAATTAAAATATATAAAAGTGATTCGTTTCCGTAGTTAATCAGCCAGTTCAATCAGTCAGTTAAGTTTGGGCATTGACATAATTTTGAATTGGCATATGATTTAGTGAGTAATTCTGTCATCGTGATTTAATACTTATACTTAACATAAGGAAGAGGCAGATGAAATTTCTGGGACACGTATTGAGAAAAGAGGGCCTGGAGAATCTGATACCTACAGGTCGAATAGAGGGAAAAAGACAAGGGAAGACAACGCATGACATACCTGCGGGATTAGGCGAGTGGATGGCGTAATATGATTTGGGGGAGTTAGCAGAGACACGAAACTTACTGAGAGCTACAAGGGATCGGGGAAAGGGGAGAACCATGATCGCCTACGTCCTGAAAGGACACGGCACATAAAAAGAAAGAAGATTTAAAAGATGATTTAATTAGACTTAATTTATATTGTACCTATCCATACGTGTTCCTAGTTTAATTTAATAGATTCTGAATACCTGTTTCATAATAAGTTCTTATTTAAACCAAGGTAGAAATTTTCAACGTTCACAAATAAGAACATTAATTAAAGACAGCAATTTTCCTAATGTCATGAATGAACGCAAAAAAAAAAAAAATGCCTGGTTCGTGGATTTGAGAGAGAAAAATCTTTGGCAATTATAAAGCAGATAACTATGAGGAAATCGTTAAAAAATTGCAAGGGGTTATAAAAAGTTGCAATATGAGTGTAAAAATGCATTTTTGAATAACCACATCAGGAAGAGACAGCTGAAGTTTCTGGGACACTGTTGTGGATCCCGCGTGAAAAATAGGTATCCAATAAATGACAAACGCAAGTATTTAAGCTAAGAAATTAAATGTATTTACACAAAATACAAAAGGTAATGCTGTTAGTAAAATCTAGGAACACGGTTAGTAGCAAATACAGATAGATATATACAGTCTCGAAGTAGGACTTCCTTAGAGTCTACGTGCTTGTAACTGACTTCTACAAGAGGTTACTTCACTCCATCCGACCCTCACAGACGACTCCGGTACGACTCCAATTCTCTGCTTGACCGTGGCTATTTTATGGCAGCAGGACGAGTCCATTATATCCGAAAAGGGTGGACCCCATAATAGACACATAATGAGGAAGGAAGGCCTGGAGAATCTGATACTCACAGGTCGAATAGCGAGAAAGAGAGACAAGGGAAAACAAAGCATGAATATACCTGGCGGACTTAAGCAAGTGGATGACAGAACGTGGTCTGGGGGAGAGGGAAGCAGAGGGAAAGAACTTGTTGAGAGCTGCAAGGGATAGGAGGAGGTGGAGAGACATGATCACCTATGTCCTGAAGGGACATGGCACATAAAAAGAAAGAAAGAACTTGGACCAATTTCCAAGTTATTTAGGTGATGTAAGTGATGAAGAAGAGGTGAATTTCTAAAAAGATATCAAAAATATAGAGGAAATGTAACCAAGGCTGTTGGATTCCCACTGATTGCTGATTACTGTTTGTGCTTGAAAAGAAAACCTGTCATCAACAAATACGCTAGAAAAACTTGTAAAAGACTTTTTGCCACAGTGAAAGCTTCAAATATGTTTGTCTTTAATTTTAAGTCATTTCTATCGTTATAATGTAATTTTATTGCAATTTGAACTGCTTGTCTTTATGAAACTTGAAAAAAAGGACTTAATTTTTTAGTCCTAATTTGAAAAATCTGGAAAATGGCAGATAGCCTCTTGATAAGAATCGGGACCTGATAAAGCGAGTTAGAATTCGTATTCAGCTCAACATAATTACCTAGAATCAAGCGTCAGATATCATTCAATAAAATACGTGTTTCACAGTGAATTTTAGTTTATATAGTTAAACTAGTTTAAAAACTGCCCGATCGGGCGGCATTTAAGCTAGCTCCTGCGGAGGGCTCTTGATTCGACCTTCATCACAATAGTTAGGGCGGGGCAGATGTGATATGCAACAATAAACTACAGAAGAACTCAAAATTGATCACTGCTTTTAAGTATTGCATTAATATTTAAGCTGACCTTTTAAAATTTCAACGATAATTCTTATGCCACCATTTTATTTAAACACTATTTGATGTACGTAGGTCGTTACTTTCCGTACAAACACTTATTTTTATTTCATGGGTGACTTTCGCTAGATTTCAAAATTAATTTCGATTATTCCCAAATTTATTTCCAAATTATAAAAATTTTAATCGTACAAAAATATTCGTCGCAAAAAATCACGTTAAAAAATCGCCTAAAACAATCGCAGTAAAGAAAACTTGGGAATCCAAAATTTCAGGATTTGGGGTCTGGATTCGGTTCGGAATGTATTTGATTTGCTCATGGAGTCAGCCTGATTCCAAAATGGTATGATATCTTGGGCTACGGCCTCTAGGAGTTAAGTTGAAAACAGGGACAATTTTATTTTGAAACACTGTAATTTGAGAACAGTAATTTTTCATTTGATCATGAGCTATTGAAAGTTAGAGAGTTGTGTCCCTTTAATTGTTTTTATCAATAGAAGTAAAAATGGCGAAATCTGAAAACAATTGCAGTAATGAAAACTTGGGAATCCAAAATTTCAGGATTGCGTGCACGAATCCGGCTCGGAATGTTTTTAATTTGCCTACGGAGTCAGCCTGATTCCAAAATGGTATGATATGTTGGGCTACGGCCTCTAGGAGTAAAGTTGAAAAAGTGTGACACACTGACATTTGCATTTATTATATAGAAGAATATGAGATATTTAAAAGTCATAAAGTAATGAAAACTTGAAAATCCAAAATTTCAAGATTGCATGTCTGGATCTGTCCCAGACTGTTTTTAATTTACTCACAGTCACCAAAATGGTATGATATGTTGGGCTACGGCCTCTAGGAGTAAAGTTGAAAAAGTGTGACACACTGACATTTTGCATTTATTATATAGAAGAATATGAGATATTTAAAAGTCATAATGTAATGAAAACTTGAGAATCCAAAATTTCAAGATTGCATGTCTGGATCTGGTCTGGAATGTTTGTAATTTGCTTACAAAGTCAACCTGATTCCAAAATGGTATGATATGTTGGCCTACGGCCTCTAGGAGTAAATTTGAAAAGGTGTGACACAGTGACACACTGATATTCGTATTTATTATATAGATGTGAAATATTGATTAATGTAATGAGCGATTTTTTTCGAGTGTGTGATTTTCGCTGGTCGTTGTCTCTGGTCGTTCTTGGACGCAGTTTTTTTTTCTACCAGCATTCGATTTCATGAGCATGGTTGCATATTTTTAAGCCTTTGTCAAATCTTGTCCCAACAGGACAATCCATTTTAACTGGAATGTATCCACCACCCTCTGCTGGTACACAAATATAAAACTGATCACAAGAACCAGGATCTGAAAATAAACCCAGGCCGAGGTCGTTGCAATGAAATTGAACAGATTCTGGAAAAGAATAAAAAAAACAACATAAATATCAAATAAAATATTATTTTGAAAACTAATGTTTACCCAATACAAGGCCCGAAAGCCATTCAAGGTAGAGGGTTACTGTCAAAATGGTTATGATGAATGAAATTTCGGATATGAATGAAAGAGGAGGAGGTACAAAGTGAAGATTATGAGGATATGGAGGATAGATAACTATTGACCCGTCACTTGAAGAGGTTAAGATTACCTTGTCCGCGGAAACATTCATACGAGTCCCCGTCCCATAAAGCAGCAGTTCTTGAGAGAAAGCTTTCTAAATGGAACGTTCTTCAAATTGGAATAGGGGAGAAATGAAGATGATTCGAATCTGTGGAAGTGGCCGGACGAGTCCTAGCTATAAAGGTTGGAACTGGTGGAACTAAAGAATGGAGCGCTCAACTAAACATTTGGCATATAAATAGCGGTAGAGTAGCAGTAGTTTTGCAACAAATGGTAAAATTCAAAGGCCAGTTAAATGGACAAGTTAAATTCCTTTCGGATTTCCTAATTTAAACGATTCACTCAATCCAAGCCAGGAGACCAGATCTGTCTGGTAATAATAATAATAATAATAATAATAATATCGCCATTTCACCAAACTGCAGATTGAAAACGATTGATTGATTGGGGGAGGGGGGGAGATAATAATGGTTTAGTGATGCAAGTTCATTGCTTTCATAAAGTGGCGATAAACCGTCATACATGGCGGTGAGCAATGGATACTTTATCTTCCCACAATGACCACTGAAGTCGTCCATTTCTAGGGACCATACAAAAGCTCCCCCAAGATTTCACTACATGATATTATTAGCCTGCCATGACAAAGAAAAAATGGCGTCAAGTAAGAATTAGCAGACGACAACTATGAATACGCAATAACCATAATTAGAGTAGAAGAGGGTATTTGTCTAGGGTATTTGCGCGTAAGTGAATATAACGAACCCAACCGAAATTGGAACTCGGCTCTCCGATTAACAATCCCGAGCTATTATCCATTACATCACCCGCACATCCAAGCTTACAACACTTGGTATTTTCCAAACAGTCACCCATCTAAGTACTGACCAGACTTGACGTTACTTAACTTCGATGATTGTATGGGAACTAGTTTTAACGCGCCGAGGCTATAAGCCACTAATCGTAAGAAGACACTTCTAGATACTAAACCGTATAAGTCGAAAAATAAATAAACCTTAAGAATAAATAAACGAGTGGATAAAAAAAAACAATGCTTCATTCATTTTATTTATTTTCTGATACTTTTTGGTTGCATTTCTACAAGTCGTCCATTTTTTTTACATCAAGATCAGCATAACACATTATATCAGTTAGCAAACCGTTATTGATTTTCATTCATATATACTGTACCTTTTTGAGAAGTAGGCGGCTTAGCTCCTGCTTCTGAGAGGTGTTCATCGGTCTCATAGAGTGGCGATAAACTGTCATACACGGCAGTGAGCAATGGATACTTTATCTCCCCACAATGACCACTGAAGTCGTCCATTTCTAGTGACCATACAAAAGCTCCACCAAGATTTCGCTGCATGATATTATTAGCCTGCCACGACAAAGAAAAAATGGCGTCAAGTAAGAATTAGCAGACGACAACTATGAATACGCAATACCACACCAGTTTTTTACGTTATTATCAGAAATCATAGTTCTAATACAAAAGAACCTATCTAAATGAATCGCAGAACTGGTATTGGGTGGGATTGTATGGAGACAAAAGTTGCTTAGAGTTACAACGGATAGGAAATTATGAAGAGACATGAACGCCCATAATACAGTTCGTGTGCACTTTAAAAAATTTATAACTTTATTTGTATTTGTGATAGAAATAATTTGTAAAAAGGATTAGAAAGAAGTAAATCTATATATTTTAAGGTTTTATTGAAATTTTATTTAAGTTTCCACATGTCCTCCATCATTAGCAATACAAAGGGTAATACGATTTTGCAGTTCACGGAAAACATTTGCCAACTGATTTACAATAACGCCTGAAATCACATTAGTTATTTTAGCTATACTTAAAACTAGATACATTAGAATTTATAACATTTTTTACAGATTATTTCCATCGCAAATACAAATAAAGTTATAAATTTTTTAAAGTGCACACGAACTTTATGGAAACCCTGTATTTACAGTGAAATTTTATGGTCTACTTTAATTTAAATTAATAATAATGGCTGACAATGCTTCATCTTATGAAAAATGAAGATGAAAGTAAATACTAATAAAAAAATAATAATGGTTAATAATGCCTAATCTAGTTGAAAAAAAAAAGACAAACTTTAATACTAGGTAAAATTAACAATAATGGCTGACAATACTTCATCTAATAAATATAAAGGTGAAAGTAAATACTAGTCAAAAATTATTAATAATGATTGATAATGCTTCACGTAATAAAATAATATTCGCATTTATTATAGAGATCTGACATATTGATTAAAGTAATGAACGATTTTTTCAAGGATGTGATCTTCACTGTTCGTTGTCCGTGGTCGTTCTTGCATGCAGTTTCTGATACCAACATTCGGTTTCATGAGCATGGTTGCATCATTATTAATTTAATTTTAATCTAGACCATAAAATCTCACTGAAAATATTATAAAAAGCTAAATCAAAGTGAAGATCACAATTGTCTTTTTGTACGCTTCTTTTATGTGCCAAGTCCGTTCAGAACGCGGGCATTCAGGTCTCTTCACAAATTCCTCTCCGTTGTACTCTGTAAGTAATGTCTTAGACAAAAATTAATAATAATGGCTGACAATGCTTCAGCGAATCAAAAATGAAGATAAAAGTAAATCCTAGTCAAAAATTAATAATAATGGTTGACAATGCTTCATCTAATCAAAAATGAAGATGAAAGTAAATCCTAGTCAAAAATTAATAATAATGGCGGACAATGCTTCATCTAATCAAAAATGAAGATGAAAGTAAATCCTAGTCAAAAATTAATAATAATGGCGGACAATGCTTCATCTAATCAAAAATGAAGATGAAAGTAAATCCTAGTCAAAAATTGATAATAATGGCGGACAATGCTTCATCTAATCAAAAATGAAGATAAAGTTAAATTCTAGTCAAAAAGTTATACTAAGTACTAGAATACTTGGTATTTTTCAAATTTTCTCATTAAATAATAGAAGTTTTATTTTATTTTACCTTTATTGTAATACTGTCAGGGCTTTCGAATCCGACCCATTCATGATTGCCGTAGGCAAATGGAACCTCTTGACTGTGAATCCACTTCACCGTCCAATTTTCCAACTGAATTTTTTCGCAAATCTGTCAAAACAGCAGAAAATAAATTCATCAGTATATTTAATACATTTAATTAGTTTTGTCTGGATTATCTGTAATTTTTTTTGTCTCATGATTATCTCCCACGCATTGGCGATACCAGATGGCATTGTATTTGCTATAGCAGTGACTGATTGTTCCAAACTTTTTTTCGAAGCCAAAAGGTGAAACGACTGACTCTGTGAAAGAACTGAGCATTATAATGAGTGTGAAAATATATTTAAAGACATAAAGTGGGTGGAGGTCAGTTTTCTATTGTTATTAATTAAGAAACTGATCCCCACCAAATTATTACGTATTAATAGTTGGAAACATATATTTAAAGACTCACATCTGAGGGCCTTTTAGCAACAGTTAGGACTTAAAGCATATTTTTTGACAGCATAACTAAGATTAATAAAAGATTTGATTGGACAAAAAAGTGAAGGATCGGGTTTTTTGTGTTATTAAGTAATAAACTGATCCCCCATTAATTATCATATTTAAATAACTGCAAGCAAATATATTTAAAGACTCATATATCAAAACCTTATAAGAGTAAGAATTTAACAAAATATAATTTTTGACAGTATCGGTAAACTGGTATTAACCCTTTGAGTCCAGCGTTCCTGAACAGTTTTAACCCCTCTGCAAAATTCGCAAATAATTCGTATGTAATGTTTCACGGTAGATATAAAAATAGTTACAAGTGTTTACCCACCGTTCAACTGATAGCTAGGCTTTAAGTCATTTTTCTCTACCACCGTTCAACCGGTGATTGGACATTACGTCATTTTTCTCTACCACCGTTCAACCGGTGACTGGACATTACGTCATTTTTCTCTACCACCGTTCAACCGGTGATTGGACATTACGTCATTTTTCTCTACCACCGGTAAAACGGTGTTCAAGACTCAAATGGTTAAGATCGGCCTTGTTTAAAACACAATAAATCTCGGCTCAAATGGTTACGATTCTACTGGTCATAAATTGGGGGATCTTTTTTTATTTATTGTTATTAAGTAATAAACTGATCCCGATTAATTTGCCTCATATTAATAATTGTAAACAAATATATTTAAAGACACACATGAAAACTTTCTCATAAGAGTAAGAACTTAACAAAATATCATTTTTGACAGCATGGATAAACTAGTATAAAGATTCTACTGGACATAAAATGGGGGATCTGTTTTCAATTGACATGAAGTAATAAACTGATCCCCCATTAAGTACCACATATTGATAATTGCAAACAAATATATTTAGAGACATATGAAAACCTTCTTATAAGAGTAAGAACTTAACAAAATATCGTTTTTGACAGCATGGGTAAACTAGTATAAATATGAGATGGTACTGGACATAAGGTAAGGGATCAGTTTTCTATTGTTATTAAGTAATAAACTGGTCCTCTTTGAATAACTAAACAATAATAATTGTAAAATGTATTTAAAAACTCACATATGAAAAACTTTTAATAATAGTGATGACATTAAATGTAATATTTGACAGCGTATATGTAAATTAACATTAATATAATATTGTGCATTATGAGAAAAGATGGTTTGGAGAATTTAACACTCAAGGACATATTGAAGGCAATAGAGTCAAAGAGAAACAGCGAGCAGCATGGCTAATGAGCTTGTGTGAATGAGTGGCAGAACTGGGACTGAGAGGGAAAATAAGTGGACAAGTATTACTTATAGGGAGTTGGGCGGAAGAGCGCCTTATAGATAAGTCCCCCCTCCTCTTGTGTATAATTTTTTAAAATCTGATATTAAGTAAAGACGGTTTATTATTATTATTATTATTATTATTATTATAGCTACAAATGGTAGGAAGTTGTAGAGGACCTTAAACACCAAAGTCATGAAGATACATAGCACATAACATCGGCTTTAAATTTACTATAGTTATCGTTCTCATTGTCTGATAATGTCGTGTATGGACGTCCGCATTTACAAAAATCGGCCAGTTTATAAACACACACACATACACAAAAAAATTAAATTATTTTTTAAAATACTGTCGTAGGTGGTCGCTGAACTGTAGTAAGCCTTTCTATTTTTGATTAGTGAATATAGTTTTTATTTAATAATAATATCACCTGACTGCTAAAAATTAATAAAGAATTTTAAAAGATTTAAAACTTGATTAATGATTCTAATTATTAATATTAAAATAAAATGAAAACAATTCTTTTAAAAATTCGTTATTTATCAAAAAACATTTTTCTTAAGACTAGTATCCATAATATATTTTATTCCTAAAAGCAATTAAAATCTTTTCTAATTAAATAATGTCATAGTTTTATTGCATTTTTTAGTTTACGATTCAGAGCAGATTTTTGGTAAATGGCGTTTCTGTTTTCAAAAAAAAAAAAAAAAAAAAAAAAAAAAAAAAAGAAATGATGATTTAAATTCTGCAAGGAGTTCTGCTTTTAAATAATATAAATATTAAAGGAGTGAAATTTAATTTCTCGAAATTTCATAAATTTAAGTAAGTGGTGGGGGTAACGGATGTAAAAAATATTTTTACCTCGATTTTCTAAATAACAACAAACTTTCTAAAATAATTTCATTCATTTGTGAATAAGTTCTGGAAGTTTCATTAAAATCCGACAATTATTTGATTTTTGCAAGAATTTCCTAATATATGTTTTTCACTGCAAAAAACACGCTACGATTTTCTATACTAATCTTTAGTACACCCGCTGACGTAAAATAGATTTTTAACCAAATTTTCGAACGTTCTAAAAAGGATAAGAATATGATTTAATAATCAAAAAATCCTTTGGTCTTTCCTCTTAATAATAACATGAAGATTTTGGTGATAAAACTTTGTTTTTATTAAGTTTATGTCTTTTTTTTTTCATTAAGTTATGCTCATTTCTAACGAATCTTTGGGGGGCACCTTTTCTTAATACTTGTTTTGCTTCTGGGAGACACGTTTCATTATTTCGATTTCAACTGTCTCTTTCTCATTGCAAGTCTTTTCTTTTTTTTTTTTTTATCCCATTTTCCTTAAAACTTTCTAGTGGCTTACATGACTCGTCTATGGCATTCTTAGCGCCGTCCCAAATCTCTTCTTCCTCTGTGAGGAAATTGTCCAACATGTGCCATAGAAGAAAATTTATGGGTTACCCTACTTTAAACCTATAAATATGCAATTATAGTCTCACTCACCCTTCCTTAGCCCTTTTCAACTCTTGCTTTCAGATGCAGTCGCACGTGGGTAAAGTGCCCCCCTACTGGGGAACGTTCATTTTTATGGTTTTCTCTCTTGACTTTTGTACTCTCTCACAAACGCATATGCACACACAAACAAGCACATTCTTATTATAACTTGTTTTAATGTTTTTTTTCCTTTCATTACATTTGTCTACACATGTAATTCCTTTTGGTATACATGCATTGTCATTTGTTTTATATTTATTGTTTTGTGTTACTCATTTTTTACCTGGACTCACATTGCATCCACCAATATTGTTTGTGGGATAAATGTTCCAGGAACCTGTAAATATTTACTATCCAAAGTATTAATTCTTTCCACATAATTGTGACTAATATTTACTCAAAATCACTAGCATCCCATAACAAATGCAACTAAAATCCAATGAGATTTAAAAGATATAATAATTATACAAATTTATGTAATGAGTGATAAATAAACAAAATTATTGAAAAAAGATTGTTAAATAAAAATTAAAAATAATATATGTAATATAGCATTAACTCTAAGTAGAAGCTTATGATGCTTTATTTGACTAATTCAGCTTTAGCAGTGAAAACATTTATTTTATTATACTGGATGGTTACAAACGAGAGAGATGGGATGTGCTTATTTTATTACCACACTTTCAGATGTAGTCGCACATAGATAGGAACACTGCCGATGAGGCACATTCACTTCTTTGGTCCTCCCTTGACTCTTGTACTCTCTGACATATGTATATACATATGTGTGTCTATCACACACACACACTTGTTACACACAGAAACACAAACACATTCTTCTTATAACTTGTTTTAATGTTTTTTTCCTTCCGTTACAATTGTCTACACATATAATTCCTTTTGTTAATGTCATGCATTGTCGTTTGTTTTATATTTATTGTTTTGTGCTATTCATTTTTACCTGGACTCACTTTGAGTCCGCCAATATTGTTTATGGGATAAATGTTATGCACTCACACAGAAACAAGCACATTCTTATTACAGCTAGTCTCATGTATTTTTGCCTTTCATCACATTTAAATTCCTTTTCTTAATACATGCATTGTCGTTTGTTTTATATTTATTCTTTTGTGGTACACATTCTTTACCTGCACTCACATTGAATCCGCCAATATTGTTTAAAGGATAAATTTTCCAGGAGACGGTAAATATTTACTATCCAAAGTGTTGATTCTCGCAACATAATGGTCACTAATATTTACCCAAACTTACTAGTGTCCCAAAATAAATTGGTATTATATCGCAGTTCAGTTTTAGTAGGTATTTAAAAATGGAGTGTTTATCCTATTTTGAGTCTGCCCATTGGGAAAGGTTTTATGAGTATCGGGATTTGATATCTGTTATGGTCCAAGGTTAGGACCAATGAAGAACAACACGAACACAAGAGTAGAAATAACGAAGGTATATTACATGAAATAATAATACAAGATGTGGAAGGTGTTAGTATGACTGTCAGTCTGGTTTAGAGTGAACTACTATCGGCTCGACTCGATTCGGTATCTAGCCACCCCCACGAGGGTTGCATGTGGCACAAGGCCGAATTTAAAGTGGGTTTCCCGAGCCGAGGCTGTAGGCTCGGCCAAAAAATTCTCGTAGAACCCGTATAAACGGGATCGGATTGGTCAACCTCCCCGAACGAGACTCTGCCCTTCGGCGGAGCGTCGTCCGGGTTCCTCTCTGCTCAGAGGCAGAGAGTTCGACCGTCATGCCGAGAAGCTCGGCTTGATTCAGTATCTAGCCACCCCCCCACGAGGGTTGCATGCGACACAAGGTCATTTTTATCGTGGGTTTCCCGAGCCCGTAGGCTCAGCCAAAAATATGCCCGTATAACTCGTAAAAACGAGATCAGGGTAGGTCATTCACCCCGAACGAGATTCTGCCCTTCGGCGGAACCTCGTCCGGGTTCCTTTCTGCTCAAAAGCAGAGAGTTCGACCGTCAAGTCGAGAAGCTCGGCTTGATTCGTCCCTCTCTCTTGAGAGGCGTAGTATACATAGTGTTAGGAAGAGTTCATTCTGTAGTTATAGGTAAGGACCCATAACAATATTCAAGTTAGCCCTGTTTTTAGTTGTCACGTCTATTGATGAGATCTCCGGAATTTTTAATGTGTTGAACTAGTTGTTCAGAGGATTGGGGATTAAGGTTTTTGCTATGGCTTTTGCTAAAATGTGCGGCTCGCTGTTTATCTCTGATGCAACAGGGCACATTCAAATCGGGCACCCCAATGCGCCCTATAGTATCAGGAATAAACGGCGCGTTCCACAAATTAGGAAAAGCTATAGCAAAAGCTTTTATTCAAACATTAGTTCGCACCCTCAGGAAAGATAATTTTGTCCGTTATGATGTGAAGGGTCAATCTTGATGAAAGCTGCAGCACGGATAGAGTGGGCGATAAGGTTCGAGTTTACGATATCTGACGTCACTGAACTTTGTTTTTAATGATGCCATCTCAAAGATAAGATCACATGCGCTGATTCCCAAAGTTGGCTACATCGCCCTATTTGGCTTAGTGGAAAGATCCGGGGGAGTGAAAATAAATTGAGCAGCCAGAGGTTGGCAGTGACACATCTGAATCATAACATACACTACACAGGCACATTGTACCTGAGGTGCATCTTACCTTCACTTTACAATGTATCTCATTTATATAACAATTCATTTTGCGCCACAGGTGTGGTCACCACTCTCTGTCTCACAATTGTGGTTCATGGTAACATTCAAGGTTGAATAGTGCAATGGCTTACCGGTTACTTTTGCCCCCGAAATGTTGAGGTTACCTCGACCTTCCTCTTAGAGATGGTTTTGTTTTTACCGTTGCATTCTTCTAGCCTTTTAAGTCTACCATTCGTCCATGCTTAGAATATTGCTGCCATATATTGTCCGATGCCCCTGCTATTTATCTTTTGCTCCTTGATAAAATCCAAAGAAGAATCAGCAATATTATTGGTCCTGATCTGGCAGCTCAGCTTCAGTCACTTTCCCATCGCCATAAAGTTGCCTCTCTGTGTCATTTCTATAAATACATTCATGGTAATTGTTCAGATGAATTCTTTGCTATGGTAACTATACCTTTTGAATTTAAGGCGCCCCTGCTATTTACCTTGAACTCCTTGATAAAATCCAAAGAAGAATCAGCAATATTATTAGTCCTGATCTGGCTGCTCGGCTTCAGTCATTTTCCCACCGCCGTAAGGTTGCCTCTCTGTGTCATTTCTATAAATACATTCATGGTAATTGTTCAGATGAGTTCTTTGCTATGGTAACTATACCTTTTGAATTTAAGGTGCCCCTGCTATTTACCTTGAACTCCTTGATAAAATCCAAAGAAGAATCAGCAATATTATTGGTCCTGATTTGTCGGTTCAGCTTCAGTCACTTTCTGACCGCCGTAAGGTTGCCTCTCTGTGTCTTTTCTATAAATACTTTCATGGTAATTGTTCAGATGAGTTCTTCGCTATGGTACCTAGACTTTTTTCATTTAAGCGCAGTACGAGATTGGCGACGAAATCTCATCAATTTACAGTAGAGTTGACTAGATGCAGCCGTAAGTTCTATGCTAACAGTTTCTTTTCTCGCGTTTCTCCCTTGTGGAACTCCCTTCCGGCTCCATGCTTTCCAGCCAACTTTAATCTGCAAAAATTGATATGCAATGTCAATCACTATCTACCGTCCTCCGGGTTACTTTTTACTCTTGCTGCTCATTATTAATGATTCTGTTCCCAATTCTTCCAAACCCTATAACCCCCTTCAGTCTTAGTGGCTTGACTGCCTTGCATGGGGTGATGGCGATTAAAAAAAGAAAAGAAAGTGGCAGGACCTACAAAGCAGCAGATAGATGAACCTTCCTACCCTACCATGCGGTGGCTGCGGACGTCTCTTTAGATCCAGCATTCTGCCATCCAAGCACGTTACGTAGGTACCTCTCTGTTTCTTCTCTGTCCTTGTCTTCCTTCAATATGTATTATGAGTGTCAAATTCGCCAAGCCCGCTTTCCAAATTATGTGTCCTAGAAATTTCAGACTTGAAAGCACCCAACAAATGAAACGTTGTCAAATTCTACGGAACACGTGACAGGATTGCATCACGAGCAACGAGGTTCTCCTCCATGCAAAGATGGAGAGCCTAGAAACCAGCATGACTCGCCACCGACTTCGATGGACCGAACACGTTGTTCGAATGCCAGACATCCGACTATAACAAACAAATCCTCTTCTCCTAGCTCGCATCTGACAAGAGACGGCGTGTAGTCCCACGTTGTCGATTCAAGGATCAACTCAAAAACACCTTGCTGAGGAGAGAAATCGGTCCGGTCAATTGGGAGAGGAAAGCCGCAGAAAGAACCAATTGGAGGAGAATAGTCCACGAAAAAACAACATCCTTCGAAAACACCAGACAACAAATAGAAGAGTCGAAGATCCCCCCCCCCAAAAAAAAATAGCCAGGGGATGGAGTCCCCTGAACCCTACTACCCTACCATACGATGGCTGCGGACGTTTCTTTAGATCCAGCATTCTGCCATTAGCACGTTAGGTAGGTAACTCTCTGTTTCCTCTCTGTCCTTGTCTGCCTTCAATATGTATTATGAGTATCAAATTCGCCAAGCCCGCTTTCCAAATTATGTGTCCTAGAAATTTCAACTGTTTTTTCCGATTCTAAGTGTGCGTTTTTGTTTCCATTTTCCTTAAAACTTCCTCGTTGATTACATACTCTGTCCATGGTATTCTCAGTCTGTATTTATAGTAAGCTGACTTAGAATCTAATTACTACTGTACTGAGCCCGATCATTGGTCCAACTAAGCTAAACTTACGAAATAACAATGAGAGTCACACCGTTCATTAGTGATTAGCAAGCTAGTCGTGTAGATCATTGTTATGGTTAACTGAAAAATAAGAAGCGTGTTAGAGGTGGGTAGAGATTGAAGGAGACAATTTAATCATGCCGGAACGTCTATTTGGTACACAAGAGTACGTTAGCGAATATTTACTTATTGAGAGGTACTATATACGGAGAGGGAGGGAGGGAGAATGGAAGTGGTATAGGGAGGGAGAACGGAAGAAGAATAAGCAGAGAGGGAGAATGAACGGGAGAAGGATAGGAAGAGAGGGAGGGAGAACGGGATGATGAGGAGGAAGAGGAGGAGGGAGAACGGGGAAGGAGAGGGAGAGAGGGAGAAAGCACGGGAGAAGGATAGGAAGAGGGAAAACAGAAGGAGAATAAGAAGGAGGAGAACGAGAGTGAGGGAGAAAGGAAGAAGGAAAAAAGAGAGGGAGGGAGAAGAATAAACAGAGAGAGAGAGAGAGAAGGAGAACGGGTGAAAGATAAGACGTGAGGAAGGGAGAGCAGGAAAAGGAGAGAAAGAGAGTGGGGGAGAAAAGGAGATCAAAAGAAACGGAGAAGGGAGAACAGAGAAGAAGATGAAGATAGGAAGGGAGAATGGGAAAGGAGAGAAAGAGGAGGAAGAAGGAGGAAGAGAGATGGAGGGAGGAAGAAAGGTAGACGGGGAGGAAGAGTGGTAGAGAACGAGAGATGAAGGGAAATAGAAGAATCTAGCATACACCACACACACACAATGTACCTGAAGTGCATCTTCACTTTACAGGAAGGAGAGGAGGGAGAAGAGGAGGAGGGAGAAGAGGAGGAGGGAGAGGAGAGTTACAGCTGCAATGAAACAAAAAACATTTATAACGAACAGATAAAAAAGCAAGTTTAGAAGACTGCTTAACAAGTCGACAAGTAACACAGACCAACTGTTCGTTTTTGGTATCAAAAAAAGCAGACATTTATTACCTCATAAAAAGATAAGATACCCTTTTCGCCTGTGTATTTGCCTTTGGTGGCTCCGCCGTCAGCTGGGGCGTGAACACCAGACACATCCGGGTCCTGCAGTCTGAAGGAAAGTCCATAGGTCGGGAGGCCGACGATTAGTTTTTCTTTCGGAACGCCGTAGGATAACCACAAGTTTATCGACCATTGCTGGAAGACGAGAACACCAATGACCTTTAAGTGAAGAATTTATCACATGACTTGACACTCACAGCTTAGCATTCCGAGATTTGGTTTTGCTTAAATTTCTTTCAATGTAACCACTGAATTAATTTTCTTTCTAAGTATCCAATGTACGCCATTTTCCAGTTTCGCTCTCGACAGATCTTAAACAAAAATGCGGAAATTTGAACAACTCGACGCTTTGATAGCAGTATCCTAACAGTAACACCAACATATTACAGTCTCCTTCGAAGTACTGATTCAAAAATATTGTTTGAATTAGGAGAAGTAATTTTTAATAAGAAATAATTTTTATTTTATAGTCAAACCTTTTATGCATTTGGTGTTAAAGTAAGTCATTTTTTTTGTTTTCATAGTCAAATTTTCCAACATTTATAATATCTATCTATCTATCTATCTATCTATCTATATATATATATATATATATATATATATATATATATATATATATATAATTATTTAAAAAATTAAAACATAAATATGTTATAAAATCACTACAAAATAGTATACACCAATCATATACTTGGGTACATATATATAGTATGTTATAGAATATATAGTATATATATATATTATATATATATATATATATATATATATATATATATATATATATATATGTTATAAAATCACTACAAAATAGTATACACCAATTATATACTTGGGTATATATATATATATATATATATATATATAATAAAATTATTTTATTATAATAGATTACGATAAAACATTTTACCTCTTTTGAAAACATGCCCACAAGTATATGTTTTAATTCTGACATTAGGCTATCCCCCCTTTTAACTTCCTAATGAGGTAACGTTTTGTTTTCAAATTTCCTAAATAAATCATTTGCCTTATAAATCATTTGCCTTATCTACCAATCGTCCGATGAGGAACGATTAAAGTACCGAAACATGAAAGTTTTTGTGTAACGATGTTAAATTTTTTATCGTAATCTATTATAATAAAAATATTTTACTATTATATATATATATATATATATATATATATATATATCTACGTTTGTAGTGAGCACTTTTTAAAGAGTAAATGCTAAGAACTGTGTATTCTAACTCCATCTGTTCTTTCTCTTTCTTCATATATATATATATATATATATATATATATATATATATATATATATATATATATATATACCCAAGTATAGGATTGGTGTATACGGAATAAATTTCCAATAACCAACTAATACTATTCTTAAAAGCGTGCTAAATACAGAGTAGAGCAAATATAATTATTTATTCGAAAATTATAACATAAATATGTTATAAAACCACTACAAAAATAGGTTCTACATTTAACACCATCACTTGATATGACACCAGAAGTGTTGAAACAAAATGGCTATTTTTGTAGTGATTTTATAACATATTTATGTTATAATTTTTGAATAAATAATTATATATATATATATATATATATATATATATATATATATATATAGAGTAATTGCTGCCTAAACACACAATATATATATATTGTGTATTTAGGCAGCAGTTACTCTTTATACATGTTTCATGAAAAACGACAGACGAGGTACTGCGATTAAGCTTGTTCTTTAATTTTTCTTGTGTTCGAAAAAATGTTTTCTCTGCAGTATCTTGCCTGTCGTCTTTAATCACACCAACACAGACACTGACACAGATACACACACACACACACATTTCTGTATACGACACCAGTAATAAAAATACCACAAACATCAACATATTTTACGGTAAGCAAATGCACAGTAATTATTTGCAGGATGAATTCGCTAAATGAAGAGTTATTAAACACCATATTTCTACTGTAATTCTCGAAAAACATGTAAAACTTATAACATATTACAGAAAATGGAAAACTGAAAACCTTCTTGTCACTAATCAAAATAACCCCTTTCCAATCTAAACTAGCGATGACCAACATAGTGTTTCAATTTCTCTGCCCAAACAATAGAAAAAACATCTATCTACTCACAATTTACAAGAAAAATTCTGGTCGAAAACACTAAAATTCTATAGAAATCAAACTACCGAAAACATCTCACTATAATAGTTGTCCTCTATATTAAACAGCTCTCTCACACTATCAACCTCACCTTGTTCAACAATGAGAGTGGCGTGCTGAATTTTTTTTTTTTTTTTTTTTTTAAATAGAAAGAAACTCACTCAAATTCCAGTCACGCTCAATACGCAAATGTTCGGAATAAAGGCTTTTACTACTATTCAAACCAACACAAAAATTACATCTCAACCATGAAGAGAAACTAAAAACACCAAACTAAGGAAGTGGCCGAAAGTGCTTGGGACAATGGTGGACAGTTTTTCTACCCCCTTCACTCGTAACAAACGAAAAAAATGTAATAACGCTGGAAAAACTAAATAAATAATTAATAAAAATTTCTTTGTCCTTCATATTTAACGAAAGATGTTTAAAGAAAAGGTTTCTCCCCCAAAATAAATCAATTATATATATATTTATATAGTGGTCTCAGCAGTTTTCAATCAACTTGTCTGAATCATCTTCAAGAAGCAAGAGCAAGATCTAAAAAGTCAGCCAATCTAACAGTGATCTCATCTCACAATCCTCACACTTGCTCCATATGTGGCCTCCTTTATAAATCACTAACAGGTCTTAAGTGCCACTTAAGCTTATCGCACCAAATTTCTTAACTGAATCAATTAAGTTGTCAGATCCTCATACGTCGAAACCGACGGGAGAATCCATTATATATATATATATATATAGATAGATAGATAGATGTGTGTGTGTGTGTGTGTGTGTGTGTGTGTGTGTGTGTGTGTGTGTGTGTGTGTGTGTGATAACGATATATAAATTTTTATATATCAAGAACAATTGTCGGGGAAAGAAGTATGACAAAGTGGAAAAAGTTTCCGGTCACGTGCTTCTTCCTTTCGGATTTCATTGGTCAATTTTATGCTTACGTTGATGCAACTATACGTGCGAACGAACGAGATACGCTGAAAAGTTTCAATTTAAAAATATTTCCTTTAAATGTGTTTTGGGTCTGTAATCTTAACCAATTTCATTTTGATTCTTTTTCTTTTTGTTTATGTTTCCATCACTTTTTGTTCTTAAATATCCCACATTGTAATAACAGAAAATCTGTCAAGATATACTGAAACGTTGTAAGAACCTGGACACAAATTTATAGTGGATGATTTAGCGATTAAAGAAAATATATTTCACAAACTTAGCGCATGTATGCCAAGCATGCAAAAGCCAATAGCCTCCTTCAACTTAAAACCATCACCCCAGTTAAAATTTGGTAACCTTCCCCTTAAAATTCTACCCAATGTAGCAATTTATTTACCGTCAATATATATTACAGACAAAAATCTTGGTGACACCATGCATTTCTTTATAAAACAGCTTAAAATGAGATACATTTTTTAAAGTAAAAGATATGATTTTAGTAACTAGAGTTGCTTTTATTTTGACAAAAAATATGCACCTTACCATAAAAAAAATTATCATACAACAGCATCATATTTTGTTTTCGTCAATAAAACCACCACCTGCCTTAATTACTGTTTTTCCAAATTCTTGGTATTTTTCCAAACTTTTGAAAAATAGTAGAGGGCAGACTATCTCAAGCATTCTTCAAGCACAGAAAAGAGAAGTCTGCTATGAGTAAAAAAAGCATAAAAACTGAGAGTGGCAAAATGTATTGTGAATAAACAAGTTCAAATTTGTAATTTTTAGTAGCAAGGGCATGTATGTGAAAAGAAATCTAGGAGAAAGACAGAATGATGAATGCGGGGTTTCAACAGTTAGGCATGGTGGTGGGTCTGTTATGGTGTCGGGGTGTTTGGGAGGAGATTTGATTCAGGTCAAGGATATCATGAAAAAAAGAACAATATCATTCGATTTTCCAAAGACATCTACAATCTGTTTACGCATAGCTGGAAAAAATATCACCTTTCAACAAGACAATGATCCAAAACATTCTTGTAAATTATGTTAAAATTACCTCGAGTCAAAAAAAAAGAGCAATATTTTGGAAATTATGACTTCGCCACCTCCATCTCCTGACCTCTTCCCCATTGAATTAGTATGGGAAGAATTAGATAGGAGATTTCGAAGGGAATACCCAAAGCGTGAGAGTGAACTTTTTCAGTGCTTGAAGAATGCTTGAAAAGTTTGCTATGTATTTTTTCAAAAAACTATTAGAAAGAATGCCAAGAATTTGTGAAGCAGTACTTAAGGCGGGTGGTGGTTTTATTGATGAAAATAAAATATGATGCTGTTGTAGGATATTTTTTTATAGTTAAGTGCTTATTTTTATCAAATTAGAAGCATATTACACTGTAGTTGTTGTAATTTTATTTTTACTTTAAAAATACAAAAATACCTCTATTTAAGGTGTTTTTTTAAAAGAAATGCATGGCTTTTGCCTGTAGTGTAGATATATAAAATGTAGTGTAGATATATGTAAAATCCGGCAGATGTTCTAATGCAGTGCTTCTCAACCGCCGTGCCACGACACACTAGCGTGCCACGTGATCCTCTTAAACGCGCCGCGAAATTATGATTGGATTCGAAATCCCTTCAAAAATGTTCCTTCTAATATTGGACTTCAGTTATGTTGAAGAAGAATTAGACACTATTTGTAGTGATCGACGGCTCCAAATAAAACGGTACCGGTTGATATATTTTGGATTTCAACACAAAAGGAATATCCCACATTATTGCAATTTTCTACTTCTTATTTATGTTAAATAGACTTCTCTACCTTTAATAACATGAAAATAAAAAGCGAGAAAGTCTACGCTCAGCTGAAGAAGAAATGAGGGTCTGCTTATAGCACATTTGACTAAACATTGAAGAAATCATGTAAAAACACCAGACATAGGTTTTACATTTAAATAAGCTGCACACGTAATTGAATAGAAACATTGAAATAAAGTAAGTTCATATTTGTGTTCATT